AGAATTTTTTATATGTAAGAGCAAATCTAATTTAGGTAGTTATGTTCTTTATAATTTCATCTCTTCAAAAAAAGTGTCAAAAAATTTCGTTTTTTAAATAAAATAGATCAAAAACAATTTTATCTTCAAATTTTAATTTTGTATCCTAAAATCTAAAATAATTTCGTCAGCATGTATATTTGTTGTATTTGATTTTGAATTGTTATATTTTCTTAAAATTTACCTTTTTTCATTTTTCTTATATATTGAGAATCATCAGAATTTAAGTCAGAATCGTATGATTTATCAATTGATAATTTTCTTTTTTTACTACTTGTTTCTTCTTGAAAATCTTTAGAATTTAAATCAGAATCATAATTTGATTCATCAATTGATAATTTTTTTTTTTACTACTTGTTTCTTCTTGAAAATCTTGAATTGTAATTACTTTATGATCTTTACTTGAAACAACTAATATATGTTCTCCAGAGTCAGATTTTTTAACTTTAGTAATAATTCTATCTGTAATATCATCTAAACTTTCAATTGTTAAGTTTTTATTAATATCATTAATCTACTCTTGCTTCCAATAATATAATCCAGTTTTATTATCTTAATAAATTTTTCTTTCAAATCCTAAATCTAATGTTACTTTTTTAACTTGTTCTAGTGTTGTTCCATAATTGAATTCTATTTCAAAATTTCTATTATTAAAATCTTCTTTATTTCCTTTTTCAAATATTTGTAATATATCTTCATTTCCTTCTTTGTTAATAGGATCTTCTTCAAATTTATTTATATATCAAAATCTTCGAATTAAAGCATCAATATCAGCAGATGAATTTTCTTTTCTTAATTTTTTGTAAAGATTTTGAATTGGTCTGTTTGCTGTAAAACAAATATACATAGCAACTATATTTGTTTTACTGTATTTTACATTCATTTGACAATGTTTTCTGTCTGTTAATCTTAATAAATTTGTCCAAGATAAATATCTATAGTAATCATCTAATAAAATTGCTTATAATCGATATCATAATCATTATATTTTTTTCCAAGTTTTCATCTCATCTTTTTCATATATACCAGGAAATAAATCTGTACAAATTTTACTTTTTCTAGTTCCTGGATCACCATAAATGTAAAATAAACAAGGTTTCTAATAACAATCTATATTTTTTAAAGGATTTTTCATTTGTTTTTCTCTGGCTTTAGCAATTTCACGTAAACCTTGAACTGAATGCTCCATTTTTTGCACTTTGTTGCATATTTAACAATTACTTTATCAATATTTTCTTCCTCTAAAACTTCTTTTTTTTTTTTTTTTTTTTATACCTTCGCAATGTCGCGGAAGGGTAAATTTTTATTAGGTATTTTAGTGATACATTTTTGGTTAGCGAGAGTACATATAGCAACATGTGCAACTTTTGATCGCCTAATTTAAGTAGTCCGCCCGAAGGTTCTACACTATATATCATACCTGTAACCTAACTAAGAGATTATCTATTTAAACCCTCTGACGTCCCCCGTCCTGCACCACCACCACAATCACACCAATCCATAACCTTGTGCTGCTTTTTATTGAAGACCACCCAGATCGACATCTGCTATCTACTTGTACCCTAATTCTATAGATAGCCCAGTAAGACCTACATACTAGATTACCCTAAGGAGGGTGTAGTACATACCCCCCTAATCTTTCTATGTCCCACGCACTTCCAGATTGGGCTACGAATACTTTCTGCAGCAGCCGAAACCATCACTAGCAGTCAAGGTGAACCATTAAACTGCACAATTCCAGTATCCGGTGCCCTTGCAAGGTTTGTTCCAATCCCGATACCCACATCAAGCCGGTCCTTATACCAATCCCTCCCAACTACCAAACCAGTTAGCCCGGACGGGTCGTTGTACCTAGGCTTTAAGTGCCTTCCAGTTTTACTTCCCTTGGTTCCTAATTCCATAGCATAGGACCTTTTCCTC